GTGTGTTTGAAAATGGCCAATTTTAAAAAAGTTGGCATATATGTTACATATATGTCCATATGTGACCAAAACAATTATAAAGGCATAGGGGAAATCCATATGTCATATATTTAAAACCTAAATATTTTCATCTATCAGATCTCTGGATGGGCTTTGAAAACGCGTTGATGAGACTCAGATTAACGCTCTTTTTACGTCATTTTTACGTTAAGATTTATTAAAACACAGCCAAACGCCACATCGGTTAACAGTGGAAGTGAACCGAAGACGTTTGCTGTAAAGTAAGCTGAGTGAACAGACGCAGTTTAAAGGTTTACTGCTGGGTTTTCTGTCTGTTTTGCTCTCAGACTGGTGTTCGAGTTCAGTGGCGGAGCTCCAGTGTGCAGTGCGGTGACGTGCTGCCATCTAGCGGCCGACTGGAGACGCTGACTCCAGTTTCAGCGGCATCAAGGTAAACACGTCTTATCAACAACTACTAAAATGACGTATTTACAAAAGATCTCTCTTACTGATAACGGGCCCGTCCGTAAGATCTTCAGTTAATAAAAATGACAGTGTAATTTGCTTGTTTACTCGCTATTGTCACATCTCAAACAATGCCATTCCGCTTACTAGTAGGCTTTCCAACGTTGACCTAACTGTTTTTTTATCAGGCTGCCTGTTTAAAGGACAATTCCATCAAATTTTCAATTTCTTTTTAGGTTTGATTTGTCGTTCGAGAGAAACAGAGATACAGAGTTAGACTTGTTCACAGCTGTGATGGGAATCTGTCGTTGGAAGAGTTTAGTGCCTCGAAAAGCTACATAACAGAAACTTATTATAACATAACAGATATTATAACGCCTAAGACATTGTTTTCTGAAAGCTTTGAGAAGATTTTTTTCTAAAACTTTTTTTAAGGCACATGCCGGGTGGTGTAAAGCAAAATCCCCAAAGAAAACATTTTTCTGTTCTACCATTATGTTGCCATTATCAGCATTACACATAAAAAGTCAGTAGACACATGCAGGCCTAGTGACACATGTAGCCCATGGGCCCCAGTGCGATTGTATCCCCTTCAACACTTTAAAATAACTGATGTTTAAACACAATAGCACTTTAAAATAATTAATAATTACACATATCAGTACTTGCCTTCCTCCCAATGACAGCTGGGATAGGCTCCCACACCTATCCGCGACCCAGAAGGATAAGCGGTTTAGATGATAATGTGACATATTAGTACTTTAAAGTAATTAGTCACTACACATATTAGCACTTTAAAATAAGAATAGTTACACATATTACCACACAATCATCAGTGTTATTAATAAATATCAGAGAAACAGTTAATTAAGACGAAATAACATCATTGTTCCTTATTGTCTAAGCAATAAGAGTTCAAGAGTTAACTACCTGTCAGCTACCTAAAGACATCCATTTTGTTATCTGCTTCACAGAACAGCCTGTATATATAAGCAAATTAGTAATTATAACCACAGACTGCTAAAATTCAGTGGCTAATATTCTTAAATGTATTTATGTTACTACCTTATCGAAGAAAACACTCTCTGAATCACTTCTTTCAGTTTCTCTCATTCGTACCAGCCACTGCTGTCAGAGCAGATATTACAGGGTGAGCTCAATCAGAATGATTTAATATTAAAGAATGTCTGTTATCTATTACATAACAAGTACACTGTTCATTAATTAGAGCCTGCAAAGTTTTATTAGCTTACAAACTGAGAACATTTCGATGGCTGTGCCTGCACATAATTGAATATCTAAACATGATAAATAAGAACATAACGGCCCCTGAAATGTTTTAATTTCCCCAACATATTCTTTAAAAGTAAGCAATGATGAATGAAGTTGCTGTTCGAATGAAGCTTTTATAGTTAAGGAAGACTAAGGAAGATATACATATATATATATATATATATATGTATATATATATATATGTACACACACACACACACACACACACATATATATATATATATATATATATATATATATATATATATATATATATATATATATATATATATATTTAACTCCTCACATTTGGAATTACGAAAATGTTTTTTCATTATCAGCTGTTTATCAGATGTTTAGTAAGCCCCATTATAAATCAGATGTGACAGCAAAAATTAGAGCGATTTGATTTTCTTTAAATTTTATTCTGAGCATTCATTTCAGTTAAACCTCTAATAGTTATATTAAAGTGCGATGAAACTGGCTAAAACAAAAGTCTGCATCGCGCAGTTTGACGCCGAGCAGCTAAAACTTTTATTTTGTTAACTCGTGATCCGGAAGATGAAAGTCTTTCTCTGGGTTTGCCAGTCTGCTAAGGACCTGCACAACTAGAAATGATTCTCCTGATTCCGTGAATGTTTTGAATATTTTCATAAATCAGAAATAAGTCTAATTTATAGTGCAGGCTGTGTTTGCGTTTCCAGCCCGGAGATGAGGACGGTGCTGATGGTGGCTGAGAAGCCCTCTCTGGCTCAGTCAATTGCCAAGATCCTGTCTAAAGGTGAGTATAAATATGTGAATGGACAAATATATTAGAAACGTTTTGTTTATGTCGTTCATACACGACGTTATGCTTTAGTTACGGCGTTGAAGTCAACTTCTAATTTGCCTGCCTCTTGTTCTAATTTTTCCGTTCCACCTTAAATAGTGCATCAGTTACATTCTGGAGCCTAAAGCGCCAGAATGTAACTGATACACGTTTTAAGGTGGAATGGAAAAATTCCAACAAGAAGCCAACTACAGCCTCGTCTGCTTCTTTGCGTTTTCTGAGAGGTTTGGTCACTATAAGCCAGTGTGTGTTGTTACTGTTTAGTAAAGCACTGTGGGACATTTATTTAAGTATTTCCATCCTTTATTAATGATAAATTATTGACATCACTGTGTATTTAGAAACAAGCTCAGTCATAAAAATAGTCCAGACTTTCTTAAAAATACATGAGCGTGTATGTGAGCTACATTTCAAATATACTTTTTAATTCCAAAATGTATTCCAACCACTAAAGTACATTTAAAAATGTATATTTAGGGGTTTTTATTCAGGGATTATTTTTAAGGGAGATTCAGTGACTCAGAATCATATTGTATTGGGCAGATATTCAGATATTTTAACCCCATATTTAATGATGTTTTTAATTTTACTCGGGAAGAGCCGAACGTTTAGGTGACACTGGGTCACTGTGCTAAAATATCTACATTTTGTTTATTTGAGATGTTTAGTGTAGGGGATTGAAATTATCTGTCGCTACTTGAATGTACTGAACATGGGAACTCCAGGAAAAGAAACCCGAGCAGCTCTCTCTGACCATGGCTAAGGCGACAGGGGTCCTTCTGTAGGAACTGCAAGTCTAAAGTGAAGACAACTGAAAGTAACCTAGAAGTATCAGTGCATTCATTAAATGTTTAAAATTTTGTGGATACCTGCTCATCCTGTGTTTCTTCTGAAGTCAAGGCTAGTAGCCAGGGGTGGCAGTATGACCGTATTTTATTGTTATTGTGATGTTTTGATGGAGTTCATCTCTCCAGGGATCACTGTAAAAATGTGCTTGCAGCTCTAATATAAGTAACTGATAGTAGTTTGAATTTTTTTATTTTGCACAGTAGTGAATGGTGCTTTTGTAATTTTGTATTTTGTAGTTTTCTTTAAGGAGAAGTTAGTTAGATTTCTGTGTACACATCCCAAAAAGTCTGTACTTGCATCACATTATTAATAATAGTCTATTGCTTCTCATATCGTCTTTGTGATATCTGATGTCTTTATTGAATATTACATTTTATGTCAATATCATACAGCCCTATTGTCTGGTAGAGCTGAATAATTAGTGGAACAGATCTAATTGTGATTTTTCTGACCAATATTACAATTGTGATTTAAATGCAGTTATATTTGAGTAAATAAAACCCCAGAATGCAAGGCCATTGGACAGCTGAACACTCGGAGGAAAGTTCCAACTGCCAGTTCTGTTATGTCAGCCGATAGACGCCTGTGTTGGCTAGCATTGCATTGAGTGATGGAGGGGGGGCAGGGGGCCATCCTACCCACCCAGAGAGAGCAATGCTAATTGTGGTCTCTTGGGCTCCCAGCCACAGATGGCTGTAGAAAACTTCAGGACTTTTGGAGCCAGAACGACAAGTTTTTTCAGGCTTGAGTTTTGAACGTTGTATGTGGTGTGCCAGACTGCCTGTTCACAGGCTATCCAATTAAAACCTGTTTAAACAGCTTAGTGTAGGATTTAATTCAAATGGCAGCTCTTGTGATTTCAAAATGCACTCTCAAATTGTAATTTTGATGTAAAAATGACTAATATTTCAGCCCTAGTGTCTGGATTCTTTTGGACATATAGTGTACATATAGTCACATTTAGTGTGCGGTTCACGTAGTGTGTGGTTCACGTGTGCACCTCTTATTGTTCAGGGTCTGACTGAAAATTTTCAATTTCATTTCTATCGTAGATATAATAGATGCCCAGCTTATTCTGGAATATCTTGCTGAGGCTCAGGTTTAGAGCACACCTCTTTCCTTTGCTCCAAAGAAGAGTGTTGGAAACTTCTTTGTGGCTTGATACGTGCCTTGTAATCAGCCGTGACCAAGAAGGACACAAATGATGTGACAACAGTCATCAAAACAGCTAGTTTGTTGGTGCAATGACAAAGTAATGCATGTTATGGGTGCTTTACTCATATTGAACCGTTTGAACCTCTGAACCTTTTCCATTGCTATCATTGCTTAAAGGTATCATTGCTTAAAGGAACTCCTTGTGTTCTTAATAGATTCATAAAGTGATAATCGTAAGATTTTTGCTTGGAAACGTGAGCAGAATCACCACAATCACTCTTTCTGGTCATTTTGACACTAACTTAATCAAGCTTCTTTCACTTGTATGTCAGACATGATTTAGCAGCAAAGTAAAAACCGAAGTAGAACATATTGTTATAAACTCTTTTTATTCTTTATCATTTGCAGGCTTTCAGCAGGATTTCTCTAAAACATGACACAAGCATTCTGGACGATGTTTTGTAAAATAACAGCTAGTTTGTTGGTGCAGTGGGCATAGACAGCAACAAAAATCCCTAATATAATTTATAACGTAACATGCGATCTTTTTAGATCTGTCGGGTTGTTGCACATATACATGCGATGTTAACAGACTCAAATTCCATCGTGGGGAACGGACATCCTGGGTACTTCCGAAGAACAGGCATTTTGACTGCAATGGGAATGCTCTCCACACTGGAACCGATCTCCACCCCGTTACAGGAGTGGCTTGTAAGGCACCTGGCTTCATAGATGACCTGAGGCACACGGGTCAGGTCCCTTGTTTCCCTGCAAATCATAAGGGGGAAAAGACAGTCAGAATATATTTGTCATTTTATAATTGTCACCTAAAACTCTGAGACCTTCGTTTAAATTCAAGTTTCAGATTAATGTTTCTGCGGATGTTTTGACGAATCTAGATATTTACGTAATCCAAGAATAGTGTATTATTATGGTGCAGCACTGTCTTATACCATATTACATTTTTGATTAACTAGCGTGTGCTAAAGATTGCCTGGGTTCGATTCCCAACCGGGGCGACCAGGGTCCTTTCTGTGTGGAGTTTGCATGTTCTCCCTTCATCTGCGTGGGTTTCCTCCCACAGTCCAAAGACATGCAGTCAGGCCAATTGGACACGCTGAATTGCCCGTAGGTGTGAGTGTGTATGTGTATGTCTATCTGTCTGCCCTGCGATGGCCTGGCAACCTGTCCAGGGTATATCCTGCCTTCTGCCCAATGACAGCTGGGATAGACTCCAGCACCCCACTGCGACCCAGTAGGATAAGCGGTTTAGATGATGTGTGTGTGTGTGTGTGTGTGTGTGTGTGTGTGTGTGTGTGTGTGTTTGTTTGCTAAAGATTGCAAAGTGTATAGCAGTTGAAATTTGCAGCAGTATAATCACAGTACTAATATTTTATCAGAATAATTTCTAGCAATTACTGAAAAATCCATAGCAGTTAATGAATAATTCATTGTAGTTACTGAATTATGCATAATAGTTACTGGATAATAAGCCTTAGGTTTATGGTTTATGTTTTTAAATAATAACTTTGAGTTTAGGGGTTTAATTAGTCGACCAAAGTAGCTAAAAGTAGAGGCTGCATCTGAATAGTTGAATGCAACTTATTTTCTTATCTACTTGCTTTGATTTTGCCTGATCTAGAGGACATGTGGATCCACATGCTGTTCAGCTCGGGCAGTATGTTCAGTGAGGTTGTGGACTAAATCAAGGAAAGCAGTTTTTGAGTCACAGCCTGGTTCTAATCAAAGCTGTGCCATATGGCATTTGTGGCTTCTTAATCACAAGGTTCCTCAACAAATCTCCAGAATGTGAAGTAGCTCAGCATTGTCAACAAGTGATAAACAAAAGGTGGCACAATCGGAGCTCAAGACAGGTTGACACTAATGGAAGTCTACATCCCTGTACAAATGAAAAAGCTACAATACCCTGTATTTTGAGCTACTGTACAACTGAAAACTAATTCCTTGTACGTGCGAACATAATTATAGCCAATAATTCCTGATGATTTCTTGCTGTGGTACTCACATGTAAGTCCATGCAGCCAGGCTGCGCTCATTAAGTCGGTTGGGCTGGTTGGTAATTTCAGCATAGTATTCCTCCAGACTGTTTAGGTTGGCGATACAGACTGAGGAAGTGCCCTGGTCTACCAAACACTGACCCCCGATGGGGCTGCACTGACTCGGGTTTAACACCAGGAGGGTCAGGGTGAGGAGACCCAGGAGCTGAGAGAGCGAAGGAAGCAAAACAGCAAGAGAGAGAAAGTGAGGTTACAGATAACCAGTCACTAGGGGTGAGCGAAAGTGTAAGATCACGAAACTAGATGACATTTTCTACAATACATGATACGCACCACAATATTTAGTTGTTCTGAGGTTTGATACTTTAGAAGAGGAAAAAATATTCAGCTACATTTAAGAAATTCAATCAAAAACTATGAGTACAGTTTTGATTTTTATTTAATGTTTAATACACTGTATTGTAGGCCTGAATGATATTTTAAAATAATGAGCATGATATTTTCTAGTTAAAATATTGCGATTATCAATTATATCGCAAGAGGAAGAACTTTCTTTACTGCCAAAGCTTCCAGATAGGAGCTACTTTTTACTTAACAGTCCTTGATGATGTACGATTATATCATCCTATCACCCAGGCCTACTGTACTGCACTAAATCCAGTTCAACAGAACTGATTGTGCTCCCTTTTTAATGAAACATGCAGTTGTTCGAAATTCAAGTACTGATGATATCCATAAAATGGTCATAAAACCATATTTTAACATAGTTTATTATGATAAAGATAAAATATCGACATATTGCCCATGCATACCATTCACTTTTAATTTGACAAGTATTATGATTTTATTAATTTAATGTTTCAGAGTATTAAGTTAATATTTAGCTTTGGTTAAATACTCTATCACAAATCTTTTCTTCGCCCTTTACTTTCTGTTTTATAATAATGATATTGGCGAAAATGTGAGTCTCAACAATGGTAAAAATACTAATATGAGACATATGTAACACGGTTTATATGTTTGACTTGTTTAAGGTGTTTTTCATGCCTGAAGTTGAGTCACGTCATCTTAGACAACTAAATTTGACCTCAGTTGTATCTATTTTAGTGAGTATTAAGTCTTATGATTAGTAACTGACTTATAAGCTTGCAGTTTAAGCCGTTAAAAGGGAATTCCACCTTTTTAAATATTGCTGCATAATAATAAACCCTTAAGATGCAAACAAATTCATTTCTGAAGACATTGCTTTTTATAGTAGTTTTCAGATAAGATTTTGGCCTAAACCAGTTTTTTCAAATTCATTCATGGCAGAAAGTTACATGCGTGTTACGTTACATATTAAAAAGACGCTGGTAGGTTCACTTGTCAGTTTGGATACAAAATAAAACTAGAAATAAAACTATACGCCTTATGCTAAGCATGTAGAAGTAGGAGTTTAAGAGCAAGCTTAGTTAGATAAATTACACTTTTAGTATGTTTAAATTATTATAGAAACTTTCCTAACATGAGTTCTTCAATCATAGTAGATTCCTAGTCTGTAACCCTATTCTTTATGTTCCAGGGGTGTCAGACTCCACTCCTGGAGGGCTGCAGCGCTGCAGTGTTTAGCAGTTAACCTCATCTCATCAGCTAATTGTCAAAACAGATTTATTTGATGCCTCTGAAAAGAGAAAAAGCTAATTTTGGCAAAACTGTGGCCCTGCAGGACCTGAGTTTAACACTCCTGATCTACACAGAGAGAGCGCTCTGGAAGAGACTGACCTGTAGCTGTTGCATGCTGTTTTCTTGAGTAGTGGAGGATAGGAGCGGAGCCGGTGATGTGCAGGTAGCTGGAGGATGATGCTGGTGAGGTGTCCTCCTCCCAGGCCTGTATTTATGCATCCTGGGCTGAATGGAGGCCATGGGGTTACTCAGGGCCAGAGAGGGGGGCTGAGAGCTCATCGTATCACCCACTATTCAGGCTCGGCCTTGAGTGAGGCATGGCAACCACTGGTCACCGCTATTCACCTTTTGAGTTTAGATCAGGTAGAGCGAGCGAGTGAGTCAATAAGTAGGGGGTTGATTAAATGTGAATGAAAGTAGAGAAAATGCATAGTCAGTCTCTCCTCTTGCTGCTCTTTCACTCATTCACCCATTCATTCACTTCTTCACTGTCTCTCCATGTGGTCAGTGGCAGGTCTTTGAAGTTATTGAAGTCAAAGAAAAGCCACTTTTCTTCTTTTCATTTGGTTGGTATGCGAATTAAACAAAAATAATGGTTTGCATAGCATTTATCCTGCCTATTCAGCAGTATTTCAGTGGAGCTTATGTTTATCTGTAGAACTGAAAATGGTAGCGCAGAACGAACTACATTTTCTGAACTCATTGATAAATAGATCGATCAAGCACTGAATTCAGTTGATTACGTTAGAAGTATTCAAATGATTCAGTTTAACAATTAACAATTATAACAATATAACAATATATGATGTCTATAATAATGTAGTATTGTTATTGTTGTTTTGTTGTTATTATTGTTATTACATTAAACTGTTATAGTTGAAGTACTGTAATGTACTTTTGATGTTAAAAGTACATTACAGTAAATAATCCTATAAACAGTTATAAAAATGCTTTAGGTATTGCGTTGTGCTTATTCTCTGGCCAGTCTGTGAACTCATTACCTAATCTGAACCTTTTCTATGCTAAATAGGTAACTGCTCTAGCCGCAAAGGTCTGAATGGAGCATGCTCAGTGCATGAGTACACGGGGAGCTTCATGGGCCAGAATGTGCGCTTTAAGATGACGTCTGTGTGTGGTCACGTCATGAGTCTGGATTTCACTGGCAAGTCTTTTATTTACATTGTATGCATTCTTTCGATTGTATTCAACCATCTGTTTGTATTAATATATAAAATATGCATTGTGAGAACATTCACTGATTTTAAGGGTTTATTTTTAGAGTTTAAAATCATACTTTTTTTTCAGGCTTTCAGTTATTAACTAGGAATATTAAAAGAAAGTGAGCATTTTAATGAGTTTTAGCATATTTAGCAAATAGCATATTGTCACTATTGAAATAACAATAAAAAATGTCTAAAATAAATCTCAAATGGTAACATTTTAGGTAACTTCTAATGTAAATTAAAGTAAAAAAAATTGTGATTATTGGCCCATTTGTATTGTTTCAATAATTGTAAAATATTCACACAATAAAAAGGGCAGCTGCTTTGTGACAACGGCAGTAAAAAGTGCTATACATATAGAATTTAATCAAATTGAAGCAAGTCTTTTTGAGCTTACTTAACAACCTGCTGTTTGAGGTAAAGGGTGATATAAAACAAAAATTGGTAAATAACATTATTTTAATGTAGTGAAAAAGCACAATATATAATCGTATGCAAAAGTTTGAACAGCCCGGTCAAATTACACATTTTGTTGATTTTCTGGGTGAAAATAATTTTACACATCCTCTACAGAGAGCGCACTTACATATGTCATTTTTCTGCAGATTTTATGTTTCTAGCCATATTTTTTCCTAAATGCTGAGTTCAGCAAATAAATAGAATTTGTGTATTGTATAAATTAGCATATTGTCACTGTTGGAACAAAAATAAGGTAAATATCTAAACAATCTCTAAAATGGTAACTTTTTAGGTAACTTTTAATGTAACTTAATGTGAAAAAATTATGATTATTGGACCATTTGTATTGGTTCAATAATTGTAAAATATTCACACAATACAGTGGGCAGCTGGTGTTGTTTTGACTTTTTATGAAACAAAAACAGACATGCAATGAAATGGACATGCAAAGTTCTAAAAGCAACGATATACAAACTAATTTCTCAGCTACTTCTGTAGTTATCTGTTTTTTCTTACTCTATCCATGTGTCCATGACTGTCATTCTGTCACTGTTCTGTTAGGGAAATACAATAACTGGGACAAAGTGGATCCAGCAGAGCTGTTCAGCAAAGCACCAACTGAGAAGAAAGAGGCGAACCCTAAACTCAACATGGTCAAGTTCCTACAGGTGTCCTCAGTTTTTCCTCTTCATCATGTAGAACGCTTGTACAGAAGCATGTCATGAGAGCAACTCCACAGAGACTGCAAGTGATGCATAGATGGTTAATGAATAAAAATGCAAACTATCTTCCTGATACTGCTTTCACAGGTTGAAGCCAAAGGTTGTGACTATGTTGTGTTGTGGCTGGATTGTGACAAAGAAGGAGAGAACATTTGTTTTGAGGTATGAGTTCAGCATATCCATGAATAAGAGAATCTCACCATTAAAGCAGTAGTTCTACCGAAAAATCTAATTTGCAATATTTAAAAACCCAAACCCAAATGTAGATGATCAATCAAGGCAGGTCTGTTGTAGTTTTACACTGGAGTTACAAGGCTGAGGTAGATAACAAGTAATGGAAGCTTTTTCTCAAATCTTATTGATCATGTTATGTTATTGTTTTGCTGTCCTGTGTTGAACAGAGGAGAATGGGTTGCCCTTTTGTGTCTTGGTTCCTCTCAAGGTTTCTTCCTCTTGCACACAGGGAGCTTTCCTTGCCACTATCACTCTTGGCTTGCTCACTTGGAGCCTGGACCTGAATTTCTGTAAAGCTGCTTTGTGACAATGGCAGTTGTAAAAAGTGATATACAGACAGAAATTAATTCAATTGAAACAAGTCTATTTGAGCTTCCTTAATGACCTGCTGTTTGAGAAGCACAATGTATGGTCATTTGCAAAAATTTGAACACCCCTGGTCAAATTATATTTTGTTGATTTTCTAGGTGGAAATAATTTTACACATTCTTTACAGAGAGTGCACTTACATATGTTATTTTTCTGCAAATTTTATGTTTATAACCATATTTTATATTGAAATTGTTCCTAAATGTTGAATTCAGCAAATAAATTGAAATTGTGCATTAAAATGTGCTGAACTGTGTTCTCTTTAGAGGATGTTTTAACTTGTTTTCACTTTGAAAATGAACAAAAAATGTAATTTGACCAGCAGTGCCAAAATTTTGCATACTACGGTATAAATTTGTATTTACATCCTGTTTGATTTAGGTCTTGGATGCCATTCAGCCGGTGATGAATAAGCTGTATGGTAATGAGCGTACTGTTTACCGGGCCAAGTTCAGTTCCATCACTGACACGGACATCTGGAATGCCATGAACCGACTCGGAGAACCCAATAAGAACGAGGCTCTATCTGTCGATGCTCGGCAGGAGCTTGATCTCCGCATTGGCTGTGCTTTCACACGGTATGGAGGGCTCCATCTATGTCCTACAGGTTATATCAATACTGTAGTACAGCTTTGCTTTGTGTTCTAGAAGATATTTCTTGTGCTTCTTTACATATATGCTGTGTTTTTCAGGTTCCAAACCAAGTACTTTCAGGGAAAATACGGGAATCTGGACTCCTCTCTCATCTCATTTGGCCCATGCCAGACACCAACTCTGGGCTTCTGTGTAGAGCGTCATGACAAAATCCAGTCTTTTAAACCTGAGACATACTGGGTCATCCAGGCCAAGGTCAGCTTTTTGATGTTTTATCATTAGTAAAATTACTTGATTTACTCCAACTAAGTCAAATCCTGGAAAACCTTGTGGAATTCTGTGCATTCCATGTAAATTCCGCAAGGATTTGCCACAGTGAAATCTAGTGATCGTTCTAGAAAGTTGTTCATATTTTCATAGTACCAACCTGAAGCTAACATTCAGTTTCATTCTGGCATTTTATTGTCTCAAAACTGTATTTTATTGCCACTGGATGCAGTGCAAAGCTTTGAGCAATTGAATCAGCTATTATTAAACCATGTTCTCATGTTGATGTTTCACCTCTTGGTGCTTTTTGTTAGCATTTCCAACTCGGCCACTAAAACTATTAGAGAACTCAGGTTGATTAGAGAATAGAAAAATGACAGTAACAGTGAGTACTGATCGTTACTTAGTGTGTTAGTTCAACTTTTAGTTTTTTCTGTTTCTTTTTTGACTGCAGGTATTCAAAGGCAAGGAGAGTCCAATCACCTTGGACTGGGACCGCGTACGGGTGTTTGACAGGGAAATCGGTCAGATGTTTGTCAACATGACCAAGACAGCCAGAGAAGCCCTGGTGTGTCCTGAAGCCCCTCCCTGTTTATCTTAAACCCATAATTACTTTTCAGATGAGTTATTATACATATATGTTGCACATTTTTATCATTGTATCTCATATACATGACTACTGTTCAAAAGTTTAGAATCCATGTTTTTAACTATTTCAAACCAATTTTGTTGCAGAAATTATTGTAATATGGTACTGAAATTCTAGATGTTTCAAACAATCTGTGGGAAATTTAAAAAAACAAGAAATTGAATTTAGGAAAATAAAGAAAGATAAATGAAGCTGTATGTTTCCTTAATTATTGAGAAAGCTGTAAAGTAGTGGGAATTCGTTTAAAATAAAATTGATATCCAGAATGCTTCATATTTGAAAAAGACTCCTTATAGTAATTTTGAAAGTAGATAAAATAAAGTAGATTTTGAAAGATAATTTAAGATAATTTAAATTACGAATAAACCATAATTTACATTTTGGTGTCTAGTTTATAACATTTCATTCTGTTCTGTACAAGTTATTATTGAATAACATTTAGTAGCATAAAAAGTGATTCTAAACTTTTAAACACTGGGTATATCTTTTAAAATCTGTTGAAATACTTGAAGTGTGGTTGTGATTGCATTGACACATTTTTCTTTAGGTTGAGTCGGTCAGTAAGAAAGAGAAAGCCAAGCAGAGACCTCTTGCCTTAAATACAGTGGAGATGTTACGAGTGGCCAGTTCTGCATTGGGTAAGCAG